ACCTTGTTGTCTTAGATCAAAAGATGTTGACTTTCGCATTTCTCTTGATTACATCATTTTCTAAACTACCTGATTCCTTGAAAATAGGTATAAAATGGGAGCCAGATGAAAATGGAGTGATTGCATTTGACTGCAGAAATCGCAAATGGTATGTAATAGTTTAGAGCCATTGTTCATACTTCTAAATTTATTTTGGAGACCATATGATACAAATTTCCCTTTTGTTTGGTACAGGTACATTCAGGCAGCTACTTCACCCAAAGATGTTATCATTTTGGTTGATGTCAGTGGAAGTATGAAAGGACTTCGCATGACAATAGCCAAACAAACAGTTTCTTCCATCCTGGACACACTTGGAGATGATGACTTTTTCAATATTATTGCAGTAAGAATATTTGCTTTATTCAGAATATAACTTGGTTGCAAAAATGATAGTGATCAGGAAGTTAGAAGTAGTGCCAATGGTAAGGTATAGCTTTAGTCATTACAGATTTGCATGAAACCTGTGAAAATGAGGTAAGGATTTTGTCTTATTGGAATTGAATAAATTTACATATATTGGAGTGTATGGTTAATATATACATGAGAAAACATAGGAAAGCCCTCCAATGCCCTGGTTGTTGAAAGTGCTGTTGTACATCATCATAAGTGGTCATAAATTGCCATACACACCAAAACATTCATCTGCTTTGTGTTATGGTTGTAAAAGACCCTTGACTCAGGAGGGAAAATAATCCAGGATTGTTAACCCACACCTAGTGACTTCTATTTGATAATGCATATGTGGCTATTATTTGAGAACGAGTTTTAATTGTGATTTGCCACATTTGAATAGCATGGTGTCATTGCATCCAAGTGAAATAACAGAGTAATTGGCTTTGGTCAAGCCCTGTACCAGCAATTCCGATTTGAGTTACAACAGAAATTTACATTTTAGTTCAATGAACAAAGTTCCTAACATTTCTGCTATGGAATATCATAATGGTGCTAGAAAATGAGGAAGGGCTGAGGTAAAAAAAAGTCTCTTAACAATAGGCATATGAGATGAGTCAGGAATCCTTCTTCATAATTGAGGAAATATTCCATATTGGCACAAGACAGAATTTCCTGTCTTACATTTATTTATTGATTTATTTATTTAATTGGCTGGAGGAATTTCTTTCCAACAAGTGATTTGAACTGTCAGTTAGTTGGATCATAACTGGTTAAACTGATACTGGTTACACTTATTTGGCTTCACCTATTAACAGAAAATGAACAACAACAGAAGGCTGAAAGCTGAAACAATAGATGAGTATGACAACACCTGAATGTGGAAGATTCTAGATGGAGGGAAAAATTTACTCAATTTCTTGTGTAACTGTTTTACAGAAAAATAACAAAAGCATAATTGGGAAAAACAAAATTACTTTCATATGAGAAAATAAAAATTAGAAATAGTCACAATCACTGTATAAATTAGTGTAAAAACATACAAATATAGCACGAAACATCAATAATTTTTTGGCCAATTTATCTTAATTTAAACATTGATAATTAATTCCAAGCTTTTCATGTAAAATAGACAAAATTACACTGGTCAAGTAATGTCATCTATTAAAGTTTAAGAAGTTTTATCTTTTCTTCCTCAGTACAATGAAGAACTTCACTATGTGGAACCATGCATAAATGACACTTTAGTACAAGCAGACAGAAACAACAAAGAGGTAAGTTATTCAACCTAGATCATTTAGTCTTCATAAATATGTTATCAAATCAAAATGTAGGTTATGTCCAGGGTGCCTGTGTATTGTTTGTGTGCTGAAAGTATACATATGTTTGGAAAATAAAGCAGTCATCATATCATTGGTTTGTTCAAAAGTTCTAGAGATCATATTGGCTAAACAGAAATAAACAATAAGTTGGTGGTACAGAATTTGACACAGCTTAAAAGAGAGACATATTGCTGATCGCTTTTCGGCTTCCACTCACCAGGACAACAGGAATACCAAATTTCAAACTATCACAACAATTTGTACTATATTTGAAAAGGGTTCTAATTGGTTGGCAAGTTGACTCTGGGAGGTGGAGGATTGCTAAGGAGAAAGCAACAGGAGGCATGTACTCCAAAAACCCCTGGATAATTGATTTAAAAAAGCACAAAGCATAAACATGTATGACTGTACTTCATTCCCATCAAGTGTAAAACAGCCATTATGAGCTTGACTAGTTATCTTAAATTGGTTGTTAATGTAGCTAATTGCATACTCAAAACTATTCAGCAAGTGCTCCTGAATTGCAGAATCACATCCAAAAGTAGAATCTTTTGATTAACTGTTTAAATACTACATGTACTATGCCTCTTAATCAAACAGAATGTTCCTATTATTGTTTAACCTGCCTATCTCTGGGTTGTCCTGCCTGTATTTCTGGCACTACCAAGTAAACCTGGTGCTGCTTCATGGCTAACCATCTTACCAGTAGTTCAATTAACTATAAAATGAGAGAAGTAACAGCTTGAGAAATTATTGATGTGTACTTCCTGAGTAAATTGACCGAAGTGACAGAATCCTGTGGAAATAGAAACCGATTTGCAGAGATTGGAATCTTCAAATTACATTTGTTCATTCTTCTTTCTATTCAAACCCTACATGCAGAAAATAATGCTTTCTTCTCCCATCAACAGTGACAACAAATATCTCATTGAAATTGTCAAGTGAATAAATGATAGCTGCGAAGCATCTACTTGCTCCTTCAATAACTCCACATGCTTTTGTTTCTTAATTTTCTAGCTAGTAATTTTTATAACAAATAAGTTTTAAAAATATCAATAATATATTGCCACTATAAGGTACAGAAACAAATTACTTGCAGGAGATTGGTGACATAGTGGTTGTGGTACTGTACCAGTAATCCAGAATCTGAACTAATAATCCAGAAAGGTTGAGTTTCAACCAGAGCTTCAGAATTTATATTCAGAATTTATATTCAGAATAAAAAGAACAGAAATTTAGTGCAGTTAAAAGAGAAATTAGCATGAAATTGATTATTGAAAAAAATCAAGAATGCTTCCACGGTGGAAGTTATTAGGGAGACTATGGAAGTCGGGGCTGTTCTCCTTGGAGAAGAAAAAACGGAGAGAAGATTGGTGGTGTTCAAACATCATGAGACATCTTAGAACAGAAAGAGAGAGAGAGAGTGGCTGTCCCATTAGTGTTTGACGATAAAAACAGCGGTGCTGTAAGGGAAAGTATAGAGACATAGGAGCAGGAGTAGGCCATTCGGCCCTTCGAGCCTGCTCCACCCATTCAGTAGGGTCATGGCTGACTATTCAACTCAGTACCTAGTTCTTGCTTTCTGTTTATACTCTTTGATACTTTTAACCCCAAAACCCCTGGATAATTGATTTTAAAAAGCACAAAGCATAAACATATATGACTGTACTTCATTCCCAACAAGTGTAAAACAGCCATTATGAGCTTGACTAATTATCTTAAATTGGTTGTTAATGGAGCTAATTGCATACTCAAAACTATTCAGCAAGTGCTCCTGAATTGTGGAATCACATCCAAACTTCCTTCTTGAAAACATTCAATATTTTGGCCCCAAACCACCTTGTGTGCCAGAGGTTCACCACTCTCTGGATGAAGACATTTCTCCTCATCTTAGTCCTAAATGGCCTTCTCCGTATCCTTAAACTGTGCTCCTCTGTTCTGGACTCCCTGGACATCAGGAACGTCCTTCTCTTGTTTACTCTGTCTTTTCCTGTTTTTTTTTAAAACTGTGGTTATTAAAGACCTAACTGATCTGTCTTTCTTCAGATAAGGAGGGTAAAACTGCATACAATACCCTAGGCCTAGACAATTACAGCAAGAACATGCCTGCTCCTGTACTTAAATCTTCTCACTATGAGGGCCATTGTACCACTTGCTTTCTTTACTGCATGCTGCACTTTCATGCTTACTTTCAGCGGCAGATCCACGAGGACACCAGATATTTTTGCACCTCTCCCTTTCCCAATCTATCACTTTTCAGATAGTAATCTACTTCCTGTTTTTGCTACCCAAACGCGTAACTTCACATTTATCTACATTATACCTCATCTGCTAAGAATTTTCCTACTCATTCCAAACTACTAAGGAACCCTCCTTAGAGCTCACACACCCATCCACCTTTGAGTCATTTGCAGACTTGGAGATATTATGTTTAGTTCCTTTATCTAAGTCATTGATATATATTGTGAATAGTTGAAGTCCAAGCCCTATCCCTTCGCTACCCTACTGGCTGCCACTTGGAAAAAAGGTGTGTTTGTTCCTGATCTTTGTTTCCTGCCCACCAACTAGTTCTCCATCTCTGTCAGTACGTTACCCCAGTCCCTTGGGCTTTAGTTTTACATGCTTACCTCTTATTTTGTACCTTACCGAAAACCTTCTGAAAGTGCAAGTAAACCAGATCCACAGGCTCCCCCCATCATCAACTGTACTAGTCAAATACCAAAAAAAAGTCCAAGTAAATTTGTAAAGCAAGATTTCCCTTTTGTAAATTCACGCTGACTCTGTCTGATCCTGTCACTGTTTTCCAAGAGTTTTCTAGTTTTACATAATGAGTGGTTAGCAACTGGAATTCACTGTCTGAGAGTGTACTGAAGACAGATGTAATGCTCTCCAAAGGGTATAATATAAGTATCTAAAGAGAAAAAACAAAATTAAGAAACAGGAAAGGAACTGGTTGAGTTACTGTTGCAGATAGCTAGTTCAGGCTCAATGGGCCAACTAGTTTCCTACAGTGCAATAACCATTCTCTGAGTCTATAATTCTATGACTCTTTTAATGTTCTTTACTGCTCTTCCTTAGTCTGGCCTGTATATAATTCCAGTCCAACATTATGTGGCTGAATCATGTCTGCTTTATGAGATGTTTATGCAAGACCTAAGACATAGCACCTAGGGTAGTAAATGCTGGGCTGTTCAGCAAAGCACATAACCTAAAATGAAAAATAAATTTTTAAAAGACACAACATGAAATATTAAGACTTATTAAAGTGAATGATGCCCAAAATATTTTTCTGTCAATGAATGTTTCCCAAAATTTAGTTGATTAGCTGGATGAACCGTGTTGAAAAACATAATGATAACAAGATTGCACTTAGGATTCAAATGGTATCATAAATAATGGAACTCGCACTTGAACAAATCTCATGATTAGATGGCAGCCTTTAAATAATTTCTTCTACCTTAATTTTAATATAGAAATAGGAGCTTTAATTTACATAGTGTATAATTATATTCTCAGGATGTCCCAAAGCGCTATACTAGCTTGAATTACAATCAATAGATTTTTGAAGTACAGTCAAAGTCCTAATGTAGGCAAATGCAGGAATCAATTTGAACAGTGACCTCCCCCACAAACTGCAAATAGGATAACTGATCATTTCTTTTATTGATAGTGTTTTTTGAAAGAGAAATTTTGAGAGAAGGATTACCTTCATACTATCATATAGCACCACAGAGTATTTTATATTCGTATAACCAGGTTGTTATAGCCTAAATTTAAGGTCTCATTTGAAACAGTGTAAATATAATACCAATAAGATGGATTCTGTTCACGTGAAGATCTCTGATGGGTTTGTTTACAGCTAAACTAATATATATCGTACAGAGTAATCAGCAGACACAGCCTATGACTCCAGTGTGGCAATGCAGAGAGCATGTGGCCTGTGGTCATGTGATAACATCTGCATACTTGGCTTATTTGAATGTTGAGTTTTCAAAGCAATATCACAACAAAGGTGATAACACAACTGATAGCATCCACACACTGTGCCCTTGCCAACCTTCGAATACAGTCCTATCTTAAAATTTTAACTAAGACTATTTAAACAGGTTCTGCAGTGAGGTGTCAATCATAGCTGCCTGACTCAGAAGACAGATTCATGCCATTTTGGCGTTTGTTGGTCAACATAGACATAGTGGGCTGAGGGACCTGTTTCTATGCTGTATCATTTGCATAACTCTATATTGCCCCCTTCAATCACCCCATAGTTTTCTCTTATTTTCTTTCCTCGAGTATGTGATTTATGCAATCTACAGATCAAAAGTTAATATAGTACTGAAGGGCTACTCATAAAAGGACCGTTTCTCATGTATGACCTTACTGAATTTTGATGTTGTTCAGTTGTACCTGAACTTTATCTTGCCATTCACAACATTTACATATGCACACTCTTGAAGATAGGCCATTGGATGAGAATGAAGACTGCAACATTGTCTGGTTTCTTCTCTGTCTAGCCTGCAATATTGAGAAGCATTCTCATGCTACAATTTAGACCTAAACTGAAATTAGCTAATTCAGCATTGTTCAGGGAGTCAGTCTGGTGCTTCCTGATCATTCTGGCTCAGATACATGTTATATCTCATTGTTCTTTTATCCAATGAACTGTATTTGAATTTCAGTTTATTTTGTTAAGATTGATACTCTCATTGGTTCACCTATTAATTTTTGTCAGGAGATTTTCCAACAACAGAAAGCCATGCATATATGTTATAAAGTACTTCTTTTATCTAGCTAATGCAATTAAAATCATGGCATAATTTTCAAAATCTTTTTAATACTTCCTGGATTTTTGTCACAAGCAAATTGGCAAAGGGGAGCACTGCACCATGACAGAGATGAGTATTAAAGAGCTTTCTGACATAGTGCATGTCTTCAGGGATAATGTGCCACTAATT